ATCCAACACTGCCGCACTCAGAACGGAAACACTATAAAGAGCCAATTTGAATTTCTCCGTGAGGTCATGACAGTTCATAATAAGGGGAAATGCTACACCTGATGCATAAAGTACACACGGATGCTATTACCTAAAATGCTTAGTTACACTAGTGAAAGTTTCCTCCTGGTAGGATGAAAACTTGGTCTAAACGTGTCGTTTGAAGTTTACTACGAGTGACTGTTTTGTGCAGGCTGACTGTAGTATAATTTGGTCACTAGTTTTGTTGCATTATATTGTTCTTTAGCTTTTAGGCAGTCGTCACGAACAAGAAGCCGGTTTCAGCTCGGCAGTATTCCTGGGAAGAGCAGAAGGAGTTAAAACAGATCACGATAACGCCAGGGTACTTTATGTTGCCATGTGCGCGAACAGTACATTATTGGGATCAGGCGAGTGTTGTCTGAACACACACCGAAGCGAATAATGCTGTAGTTTGCCGCTATTACTTTGCCGTCCGGTACCTCTGCAGAATTTCGACAATATCTACGCAGGATAGGAGCATTAGCCCTAGCTTACCTGCGTTCTTCCAGCTATAATATATATTTGTTGCTTTTCATTCCCTTCTTTGATGCGTCCTTGATTAATCCCTTCGTTTGATGGCATCTTTGATAACCCCTTCTTGGGTGATGCCGGTCCTTGCATAACCCTTCTTTGATGCGTCTTTTGACCTAACCCTTCTTTATGACTGACGTCCTTTGAATAACCCTGTCTTTTGATGGTCCTTAGATCCCTTCTTTGATGCGTCGCTTCGATAAACCCTTCCTTTGATGCCGTCTTTGGATAACCCTTCTTTGATTGCGTCCTTGATCAAACCCTATCTTTGATGCGTCCCTACTGAATAACCCTATCTTTGATGCTCTTTGATAACCTTCTTTGACTTGCCGTGCTTTGCATAAGCCCTTCTTGATGATGGCACCCAGAAGTTCGTCCTTGATAACCCTCTTTGATGCGTCTTTATGAACCCTTCTTTGATGCTCGTCCTTGATAACCCTTCTTTGCACTGCGTCTTGATAACCCTTCCTTTGATGCGTCTTTGATAAACCCTTCTTTGATGCCGTCTCTTGCTACACCCCTTCTTTTGACTGCGTCCTTTGCGATAACCCTTCTTTGATGCCGTCTTTGATAACCCCTTCTTGATGCTCCTTTGATAACCCTTCTTTTGATGCGTCCTTGATAACCCTTCTTTCGATGCGTCCTTGCTAACCCTTCTTTGATGCGTCCTGATAACCCTTCTTTGATGCGTCTTTGATAACCCCTTCTTTGATGGGTGCCCCGCTCTTTGATAAAGCCCTTGCTTGTGATGCGTCCTGATACCTCTTCGATTGCTGTCTTTGATTAACCCTTCTCTTGCACTGCCGTCTTTGAGAACCCTCTTTGATTGCCGTCCTGATGACCCTGCTTGATGCGTCCTTTTGATAACCCTTCTTTATGCCGTCTTTGATAACCCTTCTGTTGCATTGCCGTTCCTGGTGATAACCCTTCCTTTGATGCCGTCTTGATAACCCTTCTTTGATGCATCTAGGTGCCATAAACCCTTCTTTGATGCGTCTTTGATAACCTTCTTTTGCATGCGTCCTGATAACCTCTTTGATGCAGCCTTGATAACCCTTTCTTTGACTGGGGTGCATCCCTTGTATTAACCCTTCTTTGATGCGTCCTTGATGACCCTTCTTTGATGCATCCTTGATAACCCTTCTTTGATGCATCCTTGATAACCCTTTTTTGATGCATCCTTGATAACCCTTCTTTGATGCATCCTTGATAACCCTTCTTTAGAGTATGTTTGCCTGGTGCACTTCCCCCACATCTAACCGTGATGCCCTAGAATTTCTGATTAAACCATAGGCATCGCTTGCCCTTAAAAGTGTCGAATTTTACCCTTGCATTGGTATTGTAATTATGAGTATGTTTTGAGTCATGCACACACTATTCGTGCATTATTTCTCACTCAAATGGAAGCAGTTGTAGTTTACATCTTAGTACAAAGATTATATTTGCTTAAAGTCTCGCATTCATGGAAAATGGACCTGAAAAACTATGGAGAAAAGGTCTTCCCTTAGACATGTGAACTCTGATCTACAATATAACTGCCAGACAAGAGATAAATAAAGGATTAACGTCCAGTAACACTTTCGTTTCATACCGATTGGAAAAACTTGTGTGGGCGTCTGCAGTATGTTTGGGCATAAGCTATTCTTTCGCAGTTTGGAGAATGAGAGATGTAAACATCTCTCTTGTTCTTTCCTCTTGCAGAAGACTATGAGGCGACATTCGCTGGCAACATTGACGACTGCTTTCGAATAGGTGTGGGTGTTGCGAAGAAAAGTCTGAAACTATATTGCGATTTCTACTCGTCAGATATTATTATTGCGTCGCCGCTGGGCTTACGATCTCTTATTGGATCAGAAGGGTATGTGAATGTACCAGCCAGGAAGTTATATCCCGTACATGGCATATTCAGGCCTTTCTCATATATCTGCTTTGCAAGATACATGTATGTCTGAGTGTGCATTTCTGTTCTATTAGAATTAACAAATCTAGGGAGCAAAAAGACTTCCATAAATAAATGACATCCCACAATGAATATCATACATACATGCACGTAAACATCCAAAGACAAAAAGCACAGGTAGATAGTCGATTGGTTCAGCACAAAAACAAACCAAGGGCAACGTCATCCATTACAAGTAGCAACCTCAGCCTACAAAATATCACAGGTGTAGTGATCGCGTACGTGGAGGATTCGCACTACCCGAGTGCCTTCTTTCTAGTTATTGTTTGATTTTTGTTATTCAATATTCTCTTTTCTGGTACCCTCTTCTTGATTCTAATATTAGCAACAAGAAAAAGTGCATTTTATTTCGCGTGCTGAAGTTTGACGTTCTTTGTGTTCGTGTATGCAATAAATTTTTATGCTGGGGAAAATATTTGTAGGGATGAAAATCAAGACACCGATTTCCTGTCATCCCTTGAAGTGTTGGTGGTAGACCAGGCAGATGTACTGCTTATGCAAAACTGGGAACATTTGTTGGTAAGGTGACGATCTTGATTCAGTCTTGAATCTCAGAATTGAACTTTTGATAACTTCCAGTCAGAGCTTGTATAATGATTACTAAAACAAGTTGTGCAGAGTTGAAAAAAATGGTGTAATTTTTAATTGGGACTGTATAATAGATAAGAATAATTATAGACAGGATTAGCAGAATCTTTGGTTGTCTCTCCGAGACACAAATCCACTACCCACTTTGGGTTCAACAAGCTCGTAACTCGATGCCGTTAAACATTAAAATTGGCGACAAACGTAAAACAATCAAGAATTTGCTATCTCACAACTAGGCTATCACGCATTCCATTTTCCATTTTTTTTAAAACTAGTTTTTCCCATAATTTTTTTTTATCCTATCTATATCGATCTCATGCGTGATGCGTGCATATCCCATTGCCAGCATTCTCAACGTTTTTCTCATGGAAAATTTTTCTGCGATATCGATCTCATTAATGCGCAGCCGGTGCGTTTCGCTTTGCCAGCATGCTGTGAGACATCTCCACCTGAAGCCAAAGGAGCGAAAAATAATTTAAAAAACTTAACTGTGACTACATAATAGATACATAATACACCACACATTCCATTATCCAGTCTTTTTAAACGCGTTTTCCTACTAAATTTTTATTTCGATATCGATACCATCGTTTTGCTTTGCCAGCACGCCATGAGACATCTTCACCTGCAACCGAAGGAGGGCCACGGTGTGGACTTCTCACGCGTGCGTCTGTGGTCGCTCAACGGCTGGGCGCGGCTCTACCGACAGACTCTCATCTTCAGCGGCATCGTCGCACCGGAGATCAGCGCCCTCTACACGAAGCACTGCAGCAGTATCCTCCCCCTGCGCACACGGACGCGCGCGCACGCATGGCCATGCCTCCTCCGTGCATGCATGCACACGGACGCGCGCGCACGCATGGCCATGCCTCCTCCGTGCATGCACGCACGCGGACGCGCGCGCACGCATGGCCATGCCTCCTCCGTGCATGCACGCACGCGGACGCGCGCGCACGCATGGCCATGCCTCCTCCGTGCATGCACGCACGCGGACGCATGGCCATGCCTCCTCCGTGCATGCTCGCACGCGC